CATTCTATCCTCAGACAACAAACATGAGATCTTTGTACGACTTCGAAATTCAAGGTTATCGTTTAGGGGCAGCCTGTAGACGGCGGTAGGTCCTTTGCTCAGCTGATGGATGTTGGCGTTATTTATTGAAAAAACGTCAAGGTTAGGTCATTTTTCGTTGTTTTACACACTGTTTTACTTATATTCCCGCTATAGGTTGGTGAAATACGGCGATTTCTACTCTACTGTTACATTTATTTTCATAAGACTTAGGTTAACCTAAGTCTAAGGATAAATAAATTTATTTATCCTAGCTCGCATATTCCTAATATTATCACATAGAATAAATTTGCCGGATCTCTCATGCGCTAAATCCACTATTTCATAGACATCAGTGTTCCCTTCAATAAACCGTTGCACTATTGTCATTCATACTGGTGACAGCCCCAGCTAGCACTTTTTTTCAGGCGCATCTCAGACTTTTTGGGGCAGATTTAGGGCAAATTGCAGACCTTTTGGGGCAGACTTCGGGACACTGTCCTACGTAAGTAGATCTACGCTAAAGTTTTGCCCCAAAAAGTCTTCAATGCGCCCGAAAAAAGTGCTAGCTGGGAGCCGACGTCTCGATACATCGGTAGACATGAAACATTCTGTGAATGTATGGTTATGTACAGTTTTGTAGGCTGTTATCTTGTGTCATTTAGCTGTATACCGTACGATAAATATCGACTGACATGAAATACATTTGGACCTAAAAATTTTAAAATTTACACGCACAGCCAACGGACTCTTTATTACGCAAGCCAGCACCTCTAGGAGAATGTTGACCTCAAAAAGTGCATTCATACCTCACATACACGTATTCCAAGTCCGGATGTGTCCTTTTTACTCGAATCAACCCAATAGGATGTGCTTAATTCCATGCAAAGAAATGACGAAAAATTTAGTTATTATTTTCATAAATTCATCAAAAGTTTGCCCACGTATAGAGTGTACAAGAAAGCCTAATTTTTCGGAATATACCCGGTACATCGGAAAACACAGATGACACATTTCGTTAAGTGACCGGAGGATCCTGGGTTCGAACCCCAGTGGGTGCGTACTGCCGAAGATCACCAAACTTATTATTTTATTTAAATGCATAAAACTCAGTACAATATGGCACCAAGAAGGATGCGCCACACAATAATAATAAAACAACATCGATCAAAAGAAAAAAAGGAAGATAAAAAATATAAGTACAGAACGGATAAAGAACTTCATCTGGAAGGAAAACAGTCATGCTTAACAAGTCCAAACAGTATTCGTTAACTGTCATCGGGAAGGGAAGAAAGAAAAAAATTGCAACACGTGTTATAGCACGCGATAAGTTTCATTGATTGTTTGTTGCTTTATTCATTTCATTGTGTGAAGGCTGAGATACTGCCTGGGCGCCCAGACCGAAGCAGGTGGTTTTATTAAGGGACCACCCGCCGAGCCTTTGACTTGTAGTCTAATCTGCAAGGCGGCGGAGCAGCGTCAGGAGCTGCATTCGCATGGTTGCCAGTGACCCATATGGGTTCATACACCATTTGATCCGATTGGATACTGGAGCCCATGTACCCCATGGTAACTGCTTTTAGTCTAACCGCTATACAAACAACCTTCCTGACATGGTAGGACCTGCAGGGACAGAGTCCCAGTCAGTTTAGCATGTTGGGTCATTACGGTATTCAAGCCCGACCACCACGACAAGGTAGCGGTTATCGGCCGGGGATCACCAAACTAGGATGAAACAGCTGCCCAGTACTTCTGGTTTTCAATGGTTCCCTAACTGATATCAATCGGTGATCAACTCGTCAAAACCTAGTGAATTGTAGCTGGATTATATTCATCTGGTAAGCGGAAGTCACTTAGGTCACTGAACTGACAACTTGAAAAAATGTACAAAGACACAGAACAGTTGTTTATAGGTTGTAGTTGTATTATATTCACCTAGTCAGCAAAATATGTATATGTCCTATTTTGGAACTCAAAATAAATGTCTCAAAATTATTGTTGAATTATATTCACCTAGTAGAAATCCTTTTGCATCCCAATGTAATTTTAAAACTACTAGTACATCAAAACTGTATGTGAATCAGCACATCAAAAAATTCCAAACGCCATTATAATATGGTAAGTCTTCAATTCTACTATCTGCCTGTACCTATCCGTGTGAAAATAAAAAACTTCCCGCTTGGACAAATATTTTAGATCAGTAGAAGGCTAAATGACCAACAGCCAATCCAAACCTGTCTATATCGATTTTCCGCGTTATGTGAAAGACTTCAAGTGTTCCATATGTGCGTCGGTGACACAGTGGTTAGTACTCTCGCCGACTATGCACATGGTCCGAGGTTCAATCCCCTGCCAACGCACACCTGATATTTATGGTCGGCCTGCAAAATTTGGGCTACCGATATCCATGCTGAAAATTCCATACTTGTACCAAAAATACAGTGTGGAGTCAAGCTGTAATCAAAAAAAATTTTTAAAAATTTGATAAGGTTTCGTCGACAAGTGCCTGTCGTCGCATAGTCTATTAAAAATGAATACAGTGTTGCACTGGTGAAGGATTTTAACTTGGCGGTCTTTTATAGACAGGGCCAAAATGTTTGTGATCTGGGCATGTTTTTATTGGACTCAATAACATGTTATCCTACTTTACTTTGATAAGCTCCACATCTTGTTCCCAACAGTACTCATCCTGCGTGACATAGTTCGCTTCTAATGAATTTATCAGCAAATAGCTGGCAGCTGCTGGTAAATATGGTCGGCTGTGAACCAATGTGTCTACCGGGATCATATTCCGCACTGATAACAGTAATTAATACGTACCGCACTGGCAAAACAAATAATAAGTGTCAACACTACGAACTTTGTTGGTAGTTTAGCTTTGCAATTAAAAAGATGGGGGACTAGAGTTTTTGATAGGGAGAGAAAGCAGTTGCAGTGATATCATCTTATTTTTCTATGTCAATAGAAACGTAAATGGTATTCATTTTTTCATTCTGTATACATAATATCACTCAGAAGTGTATGGTGATACACAAAGATTACAGTACCATCATGACTTTGTTTGAATTTGAGGAAATGATGGTACAAAACACAGTCATGTGGTACGTTCATTACAACGATACTGAATGATTTATATATAAAGATTATTTCATGATTAAAGCAAAACTGAACAAGGAGGTCAAAAATAGGTTTCTTGCTTCATTTTTACACGTAATATTTTTCTGTTATCGTTTCTGTGAAAGATAGCGGCATGGAACAAAATTTTTTTTAACACTGAGAAAATCATATATAATTCTTGCAAGATGTAACAGTAATACGGATGAGGATGATAATAACAAATGTCATAGGTGAATACAGTGATATGTTACGAAAGAATTTGAAACACAAGATAGTTGAAAAAGGTTAGGTAAGAAGATGTCACATTTGTAGAAAGTTAACTCTTTGCTTAACGTACTCTTTAGCTAACATGAAACATCGCAGATAATAGGCTAATATGCGTTTTCCAGACTCTTCAGTTGGAAAGGCCTTCGTTTTCTCCACTGATAACTTAGTACCTCCCACAATTGGTTTATTCCAGGGAAATTATTGAACATTTAGATTGCTGACACAATATGAATGTAACTTTAACAGGCAAATGTTACTCCTGTGTTAGACATAGACTGGTCTGAATGACTGAACTAGTGTCACAATTGTCATAATTGATGTGTAGGACTTTGTACCAAGTCTATTCTGAATCTATTTAGTTGTAGTCTAATGATAGCCACTGTGATTCCAGTTCATTAATACTAACCACAACCATAGAATGAGCATTGTTTGTCATCAGCACGTCAGTATTCATCAGTACAGTGTTTTATATATATTTTCAGACTACCTGTGTTAACCGATACTAATCGTATTTGTATTTCCTTCTAAACACCCCAAGATACCACAAAAATCAAGTGAAGGACCTCTTAGACTGGTGGTATGTCTGGTTGTAGCCATACCTTACTTTTATCATCCCAATTATACTCCGGCCAATATCGTTTATCAAGCGACGGTAATGGCTTGGCTTCGCAAGAAATATTATTTCTTCTACTCATTCACATGTATTTTTTGACAACACATTCTATCCCAATGCGATTTGCAGTATGTTATCAACTAAAAAGTCATATGAGATACGTCTATTCGAAAAAAAACTCCCACTTTAAGTGGCTATGTGTTAACCGTCAAGCAGGTCGGAATGAACTGCTGTATAGCACACATATCCATTGGGTTATCAGTCAATCTTTGCAGTAGAAAGTTAGGTCTTTATTAGGAAGTCGTGACACTCAGTGTGAATTCTAAACAATCAACTGTAGCCTTACTAAAGTTTCATCAACACCAAATCCATTAAGATGGATGTTATTTTCAAAATAAGCAAAACATTTCACGTAATCGACCACTTCATCATCTTTAAGCTAAAAGTGCAAACTGGTTCTGTAGTATCATCTTGGACTTGACTGAAACAAGGAACATCTTAAGCATGTTTAGATTTTCGCTCATCGAGTTCAGGTGACTTTGCATTCTATTGTGTCCGCCTACTAGGTAAGACTAATTCGTCTGTATACTTTGAGCCAACTGGAACTTTTCCTGGTAGCAAATCAGTTCGTGAGAATGTGAAGGTGAGCATTAGCCGGAGTCAGTAGTAGGAATAATCTTGTGACTAATACCATAATTTGGGTACTGTATTTGATACTACCTTCACAGCCACAATACCCAGCTGGTGGGTGATATCTTTGACTAAAGAAGCATGTCAAGTAGGCTTATGTTACGCAACTTCCACGGGATGTCGATAAGATTTATATGGATATTCACTTAATAAAACCATTTTATAGGTTATTTGTAGCCTATAAATTGACGAAGTTATTTATTTATCTTAATGAATTTTGTGTATTTATTTGACAGTTTTCAAATTAAAGTGGACATCTGCATTTTGTAATTTTATCGTAGTACCCTAGTCAGGAATGTCGTTTCGATCAGTTGTACCTCCACCGGATTTTCTGTTGAAAGCTGAATTCAGTAGACCTTGTGGTCGTTCCCCCAATAAGATTTCAACTTTACTGACGAATGTGCAGCGAAGAAATGTCCAGACGCTGGCTCCAGCGGATTCGAAAGACTTGAATTTCTTCCAGATGGCTGCACAAGGTGAGTTGTTGTTACTCCAGCAAGAAATAGAAAATCGCAACTACTGTCTGGATGTGCAAGACAATCAGGTTAGTATTCTGGTATTTCAACTGATGCGTATGTGGTTAAATGGCATGTCTTATATTTTCATGTTAGTCAATACCAGAGGTGTGGTTGCTTGTACGATTGACGAGGAAGAATTAATGCAGCAGGTTGTTTCGTAGAATGCCGAAATTCAGATGATATAGTCTGATTATTCGGTAACATAAGTTTTTTCCCTTTGCTCGTAGGTAAACCGTTAGAAGAGTAGTATTCGGCCACTGTTTCATAGTGGGACAGTACTATTTTCTGATAGTGTCTCGAGCACAATTTATTGCTCATAAATATGTTAAGGCACTTACATGGATTTCAGAATTTAAAGAACATGGTGTCAATACTTCTCATTCCATAATTTTACTGGTAATAATATTTTCTATATCTCTGTTATTGGTGTTACATCATTTCTATTGCATGTATTAGGTGTGAATTCGGCGAAAAAAGATTCAGTAACCAACCTCTCCCTCCACTTATGTTACTTTTTAGAACTGAAGCTCTATCCCACCCTATTGTTTGTTAGTGCAAGTATTGTGACTTCCGCATTTTCCTCTTCCTAGACTTAATCCATCTGCACTTAGCTAAGTCCTCCGCGGTGTCGGGAGGCTAGAAGTAGCAACCGCCCACACACTTCTAAAAGCAAACGAAGCCCTGCTGATCAGCATTTTCGTTTACCCCTGTCACCCTCATCATCTTGTTTTCCTCCTACTGTTAATACTATTGTGCAGGCTAGTGAGTCATCGTCACTTCACTCTGTGACCACAAACAACGGTGAGAGCCATAGAAACACCCCTGACAACCTCTTAAAGTCACTAAACCAACTTCATATTGGAGCATTCAACGTCAGGACCCTCTGTCAAACCGGACAACAGGCATCACTAGCAAGAACTCTGGCATCTCGAGCCATGGATGTTTGTTGTGTTCCGGAGATACGCATACAAGACCCAAGTGTAGTCATTCGCTTAACCCCACCCGGCCAACAAGGTGGATCTGCAAGATTTACCTTAAGAGTGTCAGGAGATTCCTCGGCTAGTTCGCGAGGAATCGCAGGAGTATGGATGGCATTGACTGTCGGGGCAGAAAAATCCCTCCTTGACTGGATCCCAGTAGTTAGTCGTATGTGTGCGGTCCGTCTGAACGGATCCATCGTTGCCTTTTCATAGCCTCAGCTTACGCTCCAACCGACTGCAGTTCAGATAAACTAAAGGATGACTTCTACCTGAAACTGTCTAGTTCGCTGCAAAAAGCAAGACTACCAGATATAGTTGTTTTAGCAGGCGACTTCAACGTCCTAGTAGGGAAGTTACACCAGACTGAGAAGTATGTAGGTGGTACGTCCGGAGTTCCCTGACGACGAACGACAGTAGTGATCGTTTTCTAAAGTTCTGTCCAGATAATCATCTGTTCTTAGTCAGCACTAACTTAATCTGACAACCAGTGGTGACCGTCAGGGATGCCTACTGTCTCCATTTCTGGGGGGACAGTGGTAACTGGAACTGCTGTATATCTGTGTAAAGTTCTACGTTTAAACCATTCAGTCAGACCGAGCTAGGTCCTCATGTTCTGGAAAACTATCTAACCTCACTTTGTTGCCATGTTTTTTGTAGTTGAACTCATAATCCTTGGATGGTTACTTTATAGATTAAGTTGCATATGTGGTAGGGCGTTTTAATCCATAAATTTTATCACTGATTAAGTTTGTAGTTTGAAATACCACCATAATTTCTGCTTCATAAATATATAGTTAGGTGAAGGAGAGATTGATCACTGAATCTTTGCTCATCGGGCTTAGACCGAACACTTCCAATAAGAGTGATGCGACACCAATACTACTGACATGGAAAGTATTTTTACTAATAAAATCAAGGATAAGAAATAACAGGATTATATAAACACAGTTCAGGGGTTATTTGTGTCTTGTTTTGATAATAAGCATAAGTTTTGCTGGAAATACCTTGTGCAAATGATATTGCATCACTGTATTTTATCAAATAAAATTACTCTACGATGAATCGCATACTGAAAAGCAGGGTGAAATTCCCCAACCTGCTCCATGGAGAAGTCAGTCTGACTCACAAATCGCGTTCTTAGCGCTTTGGCGCATGCAGTTGCGTTCCAGGCTTGTGAAAACCTGTCCTCCCTGAGTTGAGAACGTGCGGCAACTGTGTTCTACCATCAGTATCTCTGTAGAATTACTTGAATAATGACCTTTGATTAAACATGATTATTAAAAGCAAATAAAGGTTTATTTAAACTTGGTACATTTTAATTCCTTGTTATTCAAGCTAATACGTATGTAGTACTTTTCATACGTAATAAGCTATTCAACCCATAACTATCACTAAGTCTACTAATACACAGTCAAATTCACCGCGTGTTTAACAAAGGAAGACGGTTACACTTTTGGGATATGGTAGCACAGTAATCAAGTGACTATGGTTTTAATTTTTATTATAGGGATTCACTCCGTTGTTATGGGCTTGTGCCAACGGGCAGAAGGCTGCAGTGGAGTTACTCGTCTTTTATGGAGCAAATATACTTCTACCTGGAGACAATGGAGAAACTGGATTATTATTAGCGGCTAGTCGTGGTCACTTCGAAGTAGTTTTATACTTGCTTAAAGCCGGGTGCCCAGTGGACGTGTCTGACGAACTCTGCAACACAGCACTCATGTTTTCAGCCTATAACAACAACGCCGCCATTGTATCTTTGTTATTGGATTGGGGTGCTGATATCACTGTTATGAATGCGGATGGATGGACAGCGTTGGATTTCGCTATACGGCGAGGGTCTCGCGCTAGTCAACGTATTATTGAGAAGCATATTTTGTCGCTGCTATACAATCATTAGTTTAAACTATGACAGTATGGATTATCTGAATGTTTAATCATATTGCATATTTGTAAATAAAATTAACTGTTTAATATGGTGTTTCACCTGCCTATTTATATGTAGAATGAAGCAGATAACGTTATTCTGCTCTAACTGCGTAATTCATCATTTTACTGTGAAATTTTCTTCCTAAATTTAGTAGTCCGATGCTGTAACACATTCTAATAGATAAACAAGTGTAAGAACCGGTTTACTTTACGTTAGCATGCACTTCCTCGTTTTCAGCAATGTAATATTCGAGCCAAGTTGCAGGGAGTCAAGCTATGCGTATTTTCCTCTGCGCATTTCCTAACTCTGTTTTGGTTATTATTCTACAATACTCGCTGGTATGCACCATTTTACGTTAATTCTGAATCGTCCCTACAGTTTTAATCACAAGTCTTAAGATTTCATCAGAACGAAACTAATCTTATGGAAAGAATCAAGAAACTTTTATAAGGAATGGAAATTTCCTAGATAACTGTCAAAACGACTTACAAATTGATTTAACGAGCTATCATCAAAACACAGTACTCAATGCATGTGAGTATTCTGTTAGGCATTATTCACAAATGCAAAGTGTTAGTATTCCCGAAATTCGCCTGTCTCACAATGTTTGAGATTAGTGACCAGCAAATATAAGAATCAGTTAGTTGCGGGATGCCGGAAATATACCTAAGTACTTGAAAAATAATTTAAGAATTATTAAGAAGACAAGAAGAAAATTTTCTTTTCGACGAAGTCATCATTTAGAATTCATTGTCCAGCTTGTCCTGAGGTTAATTATCTAAACTCTGCGGGCTTGTAACATTATATAAGATCCTGTTATCAGGCGAAATAAACAAATGTCAACACTAACTGTCAAGAAAAACATGGTAACAAAGAAAACAATTGATTCAGTGAAAGGACGATATTCGGCGATTTAACTTACTGCAACCGTACAAACGCGTTTATATAGTTTTACATTTTAAATGCAATACTGTTATGATTAATGAACTCCAGCCAACTACGATAGAGTACGTAACATACAAATAAGGAGTTGCGTGATAAGACAAAGTGCCTAGGAAATGAATTTCTGTTGAAATAGACTTGAATAAGGGTGATGAAACGCAGGAATTAGGTCCTATCAAAGCTGATTCTTGTGATAATTTAACTTGAACAGATTAAGACCACTAAAGGAGTGATTGGGCATGTTCCCGCTGCATACAAATTCCTAGTCTCGCTACTTATATACCTATGAGGCGACGAACACTTGGTGATTTTGACAAGATATAGATACATTTGTAGCAAGAGATTATAGGGGTTGAATAGCCATAATGTTCAATCACTGAGTTCCGTATAGATCTACTTTCAGTTCCTTGTAAGCAAACAAGGCAGTGTTCTCACGTCTCGATGGACATAATCAGCTCCACAGTAGCAAGTGAACTGGTACGCACATGTAATTGGTCGGTTGCAGGGTTTCGCCCTTCAGTTCACTGGGGAACAGTTCTGCAAGGGATGCTGCGACGACTTTAAGTACGAAATATCTTACACAATAGGAGTAATGCTTTCATATGGCGGTCAATGATATTTCCTCCCATAAGGAGCCACTTGCATATTAGTAAATCAGGATGTAAGGCCAACCCATTCAAAAGGATAACGATATGATATCGTACTTCAAGTTCGTGAACTTCATCCAGGTCAACTGATTCAAAGCTCCCTCAATACTGTTGATACAAAGTAATTACCTAGGTAGTTTCAGTGGATATTTGACCCAAAATGGAGCTGGTACTAATTATATAGCATCCGTACCTAACCTTATGTCACATAACGCACTGCAAATTAATTTTTCTGCAATAATGTGAGTCATATCTGTGGTTTTCAGTTGTGAATGCACTATTCAGGAGTATTTCCTATCCTAATGATGAAGGTGACGTACGGAATTACTGTGTCCACAAACTATTAACTTATCACTATATCCAAGCTGAAGACTAGACAAAAACAAATGAAGAACACAGGATTTCGTAAACAACTTGACCATGTAACACCACTTTTCTTCCTCACAACCCAATTTTACTCACATCTTTAAATTCTTTCGAAGTTTGTTAGCTGTTTTCTTTTAAAACTGACATTCCTAGAAAGGAGCTACAACTGTTTATTCGTAGTTGTGCATGTAGCTTTTTTAATATGAACATAAAATACAAAGGTTCTTAACTTATTTCAAAGACAGGAGAGATTGCGCGAGTGCTCAGCCATGATCCACAATTCACAAATATTCAGTATATCTTCACTGGACATTTAAGAAAAGCTTAGTGACATACCACTTAAGAGACTTCTATTGGCAGGATTTAGATGACTGGAGTTGAATAATTATGGCGATAATTTGCCTAAACTGAGACAATTAAGTTGAAATAAAAACAAGATTTGACAGTCCCGACATGTTCATTCAGCGTAAAACAAACTATTTGTCAAGATATACTAAAGAATCATACAGTACGCAATTCGAAACCAAGTGGGGACTGAAGGTTGTAAATGTAACTGGACTGGTAAGCGCGAAAAGAAGCCAGAAAATATATGACTGTCTTTTACATACTTTAGGAGTTATATGAGACTTGACCGGACATCGTATTCACCTAACAGCTTTTACTACCACCTGTACTTAAAGTGGCTGATAAGAATCGTCTTGCTCCCATTAATAGACTGTGACACTCATACCCTAATTTGAGTGGAAATAAGAAATTACTTTTCACAACTTTTTTCTTTTTAACAAAATCACTTAGTCTCTAACATCTTCGTAGTCATCATGGAAAGACCAGTCATTGACAAGATCAGTGAAGTGTCGAACTTTGCATTTCCAATGTATGTGTATTGGAGCTGGGTTTGAAAGGAATTATCATATACCAAAACTGCAAAATCTGCCACCAATAAACTAGGAGGTTCACCTAACGCTAATGTTAGACAACAATAATTTTTAAGCTAGTGGTTACTGAAAATGAAGGTCATTGCAATAAGCTGTTTTCAGGCGATGAATACTGATTCACATTGTTTCATAAAGTGATCACAAATAAATTCTTGGTACAATATAGATGCTAAGAGACGCGCCACAACAATATAAAGAGAAATAAAATAACCTAGGTGTGACAGTAGGCAAACATATTTATCAAATAAACTCAAAGGGACGTTCATTACTCTTTATTATCTCTAGGAAGCAGAAAACTTCAATACAACCTCAGTCGACTTCGAATATGTAACTTATAACGCCTTGAGTCGTTGAGTGGCACGACCTCTCGAACACTATTCAGGGATTCGTGATGTCCACCTTACACAACTAACTGTTGTTCCACAGTGTCATTTTACAGACTGAGTACTTCTCCACCGAATGCTTCCAGTTCCTGGGCTAGCGAATAGCAAATGATATAGTGGCTGATGGAGTAACATATGTACAAGTCGCCTAATCTGGTATTGAAAGATGAAAAGTGATTCTCAACATGTTTAAACTGGATTACTGAATTTTTTCACTATGAAACTACTGCATGCAAGGAAGACAGCGATGCCAAAGTTGTCTCAGATCTATGCGTAACTGATGAAGGATTGTAGGAATGAGCAAACAGGCTTCAAGTCAATTTACTGGCTAGTTCTGAGAGCCGGTACGCGTCAGCAGCAATAAATAGTGGTCCCATGTTAGTTTATTTATTTGATGCGACACAAACTAATACAGTACTGTTTTCATGATCATAAGTCTCTGAATTTCATGACAAAACCGGTCTGTAAATCTATAACGCGGAATGCGACAAATTACTAACCAGTACAAGACACATATCGAAGCCAAGTATACCGCCCAAACCATATGTTTTAGTTGGATTAACGGTGGAGATGCTACCCCAGAGAATGTGTAATACACATCGTAGAGAAATATTTGATCTGTAAATTCACTATACATTGTAGGGAAATTGCCTGGACCTCGAATTCAAACAATATCACACAATCTCAACAAACTTATACAGTTTCATTGTGAGTCTCAGTAACAACTGCACATAAAATAGGTATACATAAATATTATATCAAGTAACACAAAGTTATGTGGAGAAAGTTTACACAACCGTTTCAGTTACTTAAGTAAACGGAGAATAAAACTTAGAAAGAACTGAATAAAAGTCATCTAATTTATAGTTAATCTTGGTCATTCCAATCAAATCCTCCTGGTCTTCCTAATTCTGGTAGTTGCTCATAGCCATGATTTACACGTCGTCTATCAAACAAATATTTCCTATGGGATTCAATATAATTCGATGTAAAGTTAAGAATTTGGCTTACATGAATCGCGGTGTTCGCAGTATCCTGAAACCGTTTGTTTGATTTGGATACACATCTTCCAAAAAATAGTACAAATGACCCACAACAATGCCTAAAGAACTCAGGATTGAAAAATATCTCACCTATCAGATCCACCATCATATTGTTCCCCAGAAGAAAGGAAAAAGCGAAGAAAACCCAAGGTAGATAAGGGGCGTTCACTTCTATGACACCAAAAATATTAAGTCTCACATGAGGATTTCTTCGACTCCAGACGTACACTAGCATCATTGTCAGGACATGACTGAGAAACAGCATGTTAACAAACAGAGCTATGATCTACAAGAATTAGAATTTATATTGACTAACCACAGTGAGGGTTCCACAAAACAGAAACATCATTATAAAGTCAGCAGTTTTAGTGCTGTACCATGTTTCCTCCAGCATTCGGCAATAACGATAAGCGAATATTATGTTAAAAAGAAAGCTAAAATTAAATGATCCAAAAAAGCAAAAGGATGTCACGAGCCTCCATAACTATTATTGAGGTTATAGAAGAATTTGAAGGTACGAACCTGAAGGTTATTTGCAATTAATGAGGGGTTAAAGTACAATTGAAAGGGAGAGATAAGGTTTAATTGCTGTTGGTGACAATAGGAAAAATGTAAATATTCTTACCACTGCCAAAGTCAACATGAAACATGTTG